TTTTACCACACTCCTATTGTCCTCAGTTTTGTTGTCTAAAACGTCCAAGACTTGCCGGCAGGGGTGGCGCCAGCGGGGTGGGGGGGGGCCGCCCCATCGGGAAGAAAAAAATATTATATGTATTTATTACATATTAGTAGACTCTAAAATCGATTAAATAACTTGACATTTTGGCAAACGGCTTTGGGGTTGACTGTAATGGAGTATCGTAGATGACCGGAGAGCTGTGATGTCGGACGTGGCATGTAATTCTCTGGCGAGCGACTTAAGGGCTTTTAATATCTCCGGTTTTAATGACGCCAATGTGCGCGAAGCTCAGGTGCGCATGTACCTTTGTTTAACGAGTCGTGGTAAGTCCGAAGAATTAGTCTGAATCAGTGAAGAACGACCATGTTCTCAAGGATAGGGGTAAGTTTGTCTTCCTCTGGAATACGTTGCCCGTGGACTCTGGAGTCAAGAGAGTCTTCTATAAAGGCACACAGTCGCTGATAAAGATCATAACGTTCATCAGCCCTTAACTTTAATGATCAGGTCTAAGAACTTCAACTCGTCTGGAAACCGTAGTGAAGTCTGATTATATAGACCATACCGAAAAACAATAAATAGAGTCTGTTGTATAATAATAATAATATTTATTTTATTCATTCATCACTGTAACTAGTTTCGAAGCGTGGAAAAATAACATAAATGACACACTGTCTTTAGACACCACATTCACCCCGTTCATCGGCGCTAACTGGTTAAAAAAGTTCAGATCCCAGCACCTTAGAGAATTCGTAGACGACGCCGATGACGTACCCCGCCCCCTCCCCCTTTTTTGGGAGGTCAAAAAAAGAAAAAAAAGAAAAGAAAAAAAAGAAAGAAATGATAGCCCACAACGCCTCAAATGTTATTTTCGGGCGTCTAGAACACAAAAAGTTCGCGGGGGCATGCCCTCGGACCCCCTAGTTCATTGTTGTCCCGATCGGCCCTAATTTCGCCCCCCCCCCTTTTTGGACATCTCTGGATCCGCCCCTGGTAATATAAACATTTTCTAACTACTAAATCCTCGCATTCGTCCGAATACTCAGTAGTGGAACCAGGGGTAGAGTTGGTGGGGGTGGGGCACTCCTCAGGGAAAGCTTCTCCTTCCTCCCCCTAAAAAAAAAAAGAACCACAATTCGTCGTGGAAAACTAAATGTAGCCTATCTGTTACGATTAGAAGACCTTATAATTGATTAAATAAACTTTTGAACTAAATTATCATTATTGTCAGGTCTTTGCCTCCTCCTGGACCATCCGATGATTTTGAACGACGCCCGACCACGCTCACTTTGCTTTCGTTGGTAACGTCCAAGAGCGGCGGCCCCTCCCTCTGCTTTACAGAAAGTTGAAAAAATATATTTTATTCTCCCAAAACGCATCAGAGGCTATTTCCGTAGGTCATGTCCCGGGACACCCTAGGGTTGTGCTGTCTCTCGATCGAGGGAAATTAGACCCCATTTTACTGGTGCCATCCCTGTGCGAACCAGGGGCACAACCCCATTTTAACTTTCAATAAATTTGTTTGGAAATGCTGCATAAGCCTATGACGTTCCTCATCCAATTTATCATCCTCCTGATTATTTACATTGCCAAAATATTCATTGTTCCAATAGACAATACAGAAGTTTCACAAACATCATATTGTCGACATAATTGGGGGAATATTCAGGCCGAAAAGAGAGGACGGGTAGAGGCTCTTCTGACATCTGATGGCCGCTTCGCTTCACCACCTCCAAGGTTCAACAAAGCCCTGAACTCATCTGATAAACTTTCAAAGGTGATCAAAACTGATATCAACAGAAACTTGCGAATACAAGCTCCTCTTTCGACAGTGATCGTACGGTTAGTTACTAGACCAATATTGTGTGGGATAGGGGATGA